GTAAGGGTCCCTTTGTCCTAGATGATCAGACCTCTAACCTCCTCCTCCTCCTCCTCCTCCTCCTCCTCCTCCTCCTCCTCCTCCTCCTCCTCCTCTGACTCCTCCCAGCCGGCCCGGCCTCCATCGGCCGCGGCGCCCCCGCGGGCGCCGGCGAGCGCGCCCTGCAGCGCCTCGCCCGCGCGCGTGAAGGCGTCCACGCCGACGCGCGAGGCGATCTGCTGCATCAGCCCCGCCGAGTCGAGCGGCCCGCCCGGGTCGCCTGCCGCAGGAGGCAACGCCGATGCACCACCAACCCCAGACCCCCGACGTCATGATTTTTCATGACGCGGCCCCCAGAGGTCCGGACCCATTCCCCAGGACCGGCTTTTCATCCTGAGTCGTTTTTTGACGGTCCTGAGGGCCGGCAAGGGCCTCCAGAGGCCGAAGATGGCGAAAAACCTCGCGTCGTGATTTTTTCATGACTCGAGGGGGTCTGGGACCACCACCGATAAGCCAAGTCGGTTCCCTTCTGATGATTTGAATGTGAAGAATATGGGGAAGCTTGGCTAGGCGTGCGCATGGAATGCGGGCATGAGGGAAGCTGGGCGTGCGTGACAAGTGCGCGGTGGCATGCTGTATACGAATGTTTTCGGGGATGCCTGAACGAGTTTAGAGTTGTCGTTTCGGGTATGTTCGTTTCGGGTATGGTCTATTTGGGTACGCCTAAACGAATTACTTTAGAGCGGTGGTGTCTATAAGGAATCGAAGGGGCCCAACGATAGCCTGGCCAGGCTCATTCTGGATCCTGGCACGGCACATCATCCCAAACATGCTCGCGTCGGGAAACAAGACCGACGGAAGGATTTTGCCAACTCTTGGCGACCTCTGGAGGCCCTCGCCGGGCCCCGGGACTATCACAAGACGATCTGGGATGAGGAACGAGCCCTGGGGAAACGGTCGGGACATCGATGGATCCCACACTGAAAAAGTCAAAACGTCGGTTTTGAGAACCCTGAGCACCTGGCGTGCATTCTTTTGCACAGCAGACGTTTCCGTTCGGATCTGGAGGCCGGGACTGTCACAGATCGCTCTGGCTCGAAAAATGCCGCCGGAAGCTGGGGTCTAGGGTTAGGTCGGGCATGTCCTTCTACAGGCGGAGTTGGAAAGAAAAACAGTTGTCCAACAAATCGATGTGTGTATATATATATATATATATACAGACAGAAATAATCAAAAGAGCACGAAACATCGTCCCCTGACTATGTTCTACTACTCTCGAGTATTCCTCCTGTTGCAGGACATGCCCGACATACGCCTAGGGCTCTGGTCGTGATTCTTCACGCTGTTGCGCTTGCGTCGCGCCGTGGGATCCGAGGGCACCGTGCTTGGACTCCCCGCTGGCCCCGCTGCCACGCGGCACGGTGCAGTTCTGCGGCGCGGGGGGCCGAAGAGCCCTGCCCCCCGCCACGCCCAGGGCCCCTGAGCGACGGCGCCTCGGGAGGGCCCAGCGCGGCGCGGTGCATACGAGCCGCCCACGGACATGGGTGTGCCCTCCTGGCCGAGACCGGGTGGGTGTGAGGGTGCGCGCCCTCAGATATGACCAGGTGAACGTTTTCTAACTCGGCGTTTCGACACCGAGCGAAAGGGGGGGGAGGGGGGGGGTTCTGGCTGCGGACCTCTGCTTGATGCGGCTGTTTGCAACAGTGCGTCCCATGGGGGAGGCTCCACCTGTTCGAAACAGACGCCCGAAACAGGCAAGATCTACTCCATGGGGGGGGCGGGCGCGGGCCCGCGCCGATCGGCAAAACAACGAATAACACAAGAAAAAAAACGCAATCAACATGAACTTTGCACGCCCCGCGCGGATCCAAGAAATCCGTGCGGAACGCCAGGAGTTTATGTGTATGGTGTCTGTTCTTCGAGAAAAATTGAAGCATCGCAGAAAATCGCCAACGGAGCCCCGGACCCCATCTTCCTGCACCGTTTCTCCAGCGCGATCGACTCCTGAGGGCCCTGGGCCCGCAACCGAGCGGGGGGACCTCAGGGCATGCACCATCCCAGGGCCCAGGATGGCAACCAGGCCCCCCACAGACGATCCTGGCAAGGCCCCGCAAGGCGGTCTCTGGCCAGAAACAGAAAACAACTCACAACTCACAAAAACAAAACATCAACAACATAAATGGCAACAACCACAAACAACAACAACAACAACAACAACAACAACAACAACAACAACAACACCAATTACTAGCACGTGGGGACACTCCGTTCTCACCAGTGCCAGGGTTTTCATAGGAGGCGGGCAATACCCCCACTTTGTGGGGGGGCCGGTTCAAGCTCTACCAAATTTCCAAACGACTCTTCGCCACCACCCACACCCAGCTTCCCGCCCTATGACGTTCGGACACTTCACTTCGTGGCATGCGGACGACCGTGGCTACTATTCAGGGCCCCGCGGCCGACGACGACGGCGTGCGCGCGCGAAGAAAAAACGAATGTGTCCCGCATGGTATTATTTGAC